TTTGATAATGTGCATATTCTGTGATTTGTAAAAGGCCTTTTTTTAACGCTATTTATTCAGTCAACCTTTAGATAACAAATCCTTTAAGAGTTTCCTGATAAAAAAGGCTGCTAAGTTGTCATGTCTAGGCTAATTATCATGCATTATTTATGCTTCAGTCACAAACCAACCCTAGTTAAAGAATCACTTTCGAGGGACATCATGAACAGTGCTCATCTATAATCTCAGCGGTAGCAGCTATATCACAAAATTCACGAACGACTAAATTCCAATTCACCAAGTGATTGTTCAGTGGACTGGTGTCATAACCTTAAGGTCCTGAATTCAACCTCTGACTTGAATAATTAGGTACAAAAGCTACAACATAATGAATGGAACTGCCTCCAAAATCTGAATGTACATATATATATATATATATATATATATATATATATATATATATATATATATATATATATATATATATATATATATATATGACACCTTCTTGCAGAACCCTCTAAAATTCTAAAGGAAAAGAAATTCATCGTTCGCCTGCAAAGATATTTTGCCATCCCATACTACTAATATTATATTTGAATAAACTTCTCTTTAAAAGAAATTATCAATGCTTAGAAATGAGAAATTGAAGATATGGATACCTGACAATTATCAAGACAGAATCACTTCGGTTGCACGCATAGGCATGGATCAAGACACCTAAACGAGAAGCGGTAAGCCTAGGTAGATCTTAAATCATTTTGAAAATCCTTTGCATTCAGCATAAAGGGTGAAATTAACATTTTCAAAACCAACGTTAATACACTTGCAATTAGTAGTGTTCTGTGAAGAGTTGGTTGGTTTATTTGCGGAACTTTCGTCGTCCACCTACTGGGCAACATCTTTAGTGGAACTTTTAGCATAAAGTGAACTGATTTAAATTTTTCATGAATGATGATAGAATTGTGTCTCCCTGTAACTATCTTTACATTTGTATTGATCATTTTCTTTTACTGCTGGCGAACTACACGTCTTATTCTCTACACGACCGATGGTGATTCCTCGACTGAAAGATGAAGTACCTAGACTAGCCATTTTTAATTGTACCTATCAATTCAACTGCGCTTGTGGAGCCAGTTATATTGGCGGTGGCTCTAGGAACTTGATTTTTCGTGCTCACTGGAGGACATCTCCCACTATGGCTAAGTAGAGGTGTAGTGAAAACTATTAACAGCTCGATATTCAAACATCTGGTGCACACCGACCACAAAGCCAGCGTAGAAGAATCCTTCTCCATATTATACCGGTTGCCAAATAAATTACCAAAAATATCGAAGCACCACAGGCTCCAAACAGCAGAGGCTAATGCGATTCGCTTCAAACAACTAGCACTCTGTGTCCAAAAGAAGCAAGTCCAGCCCCTAATATTGCCCTGACTGGCCTTCAGTAGAAGCTATAAACTCATGAATTTGTAATATTATCTCTCCTAATTCTTCTGACATTCAGCTTATTTTATTTTGATGCGATTCAGCTGTAATCTATCAATATTGTTGATTCGATGTTATTTAACCATTATTGTCGTTCATAACACTGACTCATTCATTCACTATTATTATTCTGAAACGTTTTCACTGTACTTCGCAATGGTTTTCAAGCATATTCTAGACTAAAATATCCCAAATAGTTCGGTTATTTAATGAATTTATTTGGATTTGTCAGCTGGGAGTAAGCAGTATCACATTTGCGTTGATGATTGAGTAGTAGACTGCTAGTCAACCGCCCATCTGGTCTATGGTTCAGTCTCCGACTAACTGACACACTCTTAAACATCATTAAGCCAATAATTGAGGCTACTAAAGACTGGGAGTTGAGTGTAAAGCTAGTAACTCTACTCTGTCAAAATAAAGCCACTGCTACGGAAACTTCAGTTAACTGATTAAAAATGCCTATTAAAATTTTCAAAAGAATAGATACTGAACAAAGAATACTCTTTTTGATAACCCCTTCATCATCAGGCTCTACAGTTATATATACATTATAGTGAATGAATGAATGAATGAATTAGTGTTATGAACGACATTAATGTTTAAATAAAATAAAATCAATAATATTGATAGATTACAGCTCAGTAACATCAACATAAAATAAGCTGAATGTCATGGCATGGCTAAGTAAAGGTGTGGTGAAAACTATTAACAGCTCGATATTCAAACATCTGGTGCAAACCGGCCACAAAGCCAGCGTAGAAGAATCCTCCTCTATAATTTACCTAATAAATTGCCGAAATCATCGAAGCACCACATGCTTCAAACAGAAGAGACTAATGTGATTCGCCTCAAACAACCGGCGCTCTGTTTTCAAAAGAAGCAAGTCAAGCCCCTACTATTACCCTGGCCTTCAGTAGAAACTATAAATTCATGAATTTGTAATATTATCTTTCCTAATTCTTCTGACATTCAGCTTATTTTATTTTGATGCGATTCAGCTGTAATCTATCAATATTATTGATTCGATGTTATTTAAACACCAATAATGTTGTTCATAACACTAACTCATTCATTCACTATAATGTATATAAAACTGTAGAGCCTGATGAAGAAGGGGTTATCGAAAAGAGCACTCTTTGTTAAGTATCCATTCTTTTGAAAAAAGTTTCTATTGACTTGAATTTTAAACTTTCAGGTCATATGATCTACTTTTCATTCGTTGGTAGATTTGGTCTATATTAACATGTTTGTTAACTGCACATTTGTTTGAGTACCAACCAGACTTCTAGGAATTCCCTGACTGCATTTTTTGGTGTTCCCTCTGTCTAAGATTTCGACACTATCCCAGTCATCAAACTAATGTCTATAATCATCTATATGCATTGATATGAAATAAGATATATTATGTCTTTTCACAGCTGATTTGTGATCTTGTATTCTGATTCGAAGGGGACGCCTACTTTGACCAGTGTGAAATTTGTCACGGTTCATACAGTTTATTTTGTGAATGGTATTAATTTTATCTCCTCTTTCTGTTGGATTTTTCCCTTTACACAATATCGAATTCATTAATAATAAATAATAAATTTTTCCTTCACATTCCCGGTGGAACATAGGACTTCAAGCTAGGGGCTTGAAGTTTCTGTAGCAGTGTTTATTTTCACAGGATGGGGTTGCTAGCCTCATGCCTAACCTTTCTTCTTTACCAGAAATATTTCTGGCTTAGCAAGGTTAAGGAGTGCGTCTGTGATCAGGGATCAAACCCCAGAACATGCGCATGGTCGGCAAGCATCCTAAGCGCTATGCCACCGACACACATCGAATTCATTGATTTGACTGATTTTTTGTGACACGTCTATTTCAAACGGTTTTAATATTCTAACTGTTATTTCAGAGATATTTTTCTGGAATATGGTAGGAGGAATTTTCTTGTATTCACTTCTGCATTCATGAATCAGAAACTTGACGTATCATGAAAAGCTTTTCCAAAAGGCCCTTGTAGAAAATTATCGACAGTTACCTTAGCTGTCTCCACACTGAAGATCAATGACTGGCCAGTCGGTTAGAAAGAATTAACAACAAGAAATTTTAGAAACGTAATCAATCAAGAATCAACAGTTCATTGAACTTTCCGAATATAAGTTGGATGAGTCAGACAAATGCTGATGGGACCGTCGAATGACATAGTGAACATAAATGAGAAACTATGAGTTAGGTATGGATCTGAAGGGGATATGGAGGGGACCATGTGAGGAGTAGGCAATTGTGGGGCCAGCAAACAGCAAGACAAAATTAAGGTGTGGTGTTGAAGCGATTTCATTCTCAAAAGCAGCTGTGCAATCGCATTTATGTAGATTTAGTTTACATGGATACAATTATTATTTGTTTAATTCCACATAGTAACGAAGGTGATAATAATTTTCAACTTGAAGGTTTAAAGGTAGGAATACAGATTACAAGGGGCTTGGAGACAAGATTGCATAGTATTAGAAAACAGTTACAACGTATGCAAAATTAATATTTGACGCATCTCTGTGCCTCGTGTAATTCATATCAAGTTGAAAATAATTATCACCTTTTATTCGCCTTTAAAATTATTATTTCTCCAATTATCAAATATTAACTGTGCATACGTTGTAACTGTTTTCTAATACTATGCAATCTTGTCTCTAAGCCCCTTGTAATCTGTAGTCCTACCTTCTAAACTTCAAGTTGAAAATTATTATCACCTTCGTTACTATGTGGAATTAAACAAATAATAATTGTATCCATGTAAACTAAATCTACATAAATGCGATTGTACAGGTGCTTTTGAGAATGAAATCGCCGAAAAGATCGCCATCTTTGCTGAACTTTTTGTTTTTTCAATCTAATGTTCCAATGATATTGAAGCTGTATATGTTCCACGCAGAACCCAGAGACAATAACAAAAATAATAATAATGATCACTAGCCGGTGGTTCTAATCTCAGCAGTGATTCACCTATCATCATTATTATACATCTAATAATAAGTAATGATAAAATAGCAATAAAATTTTCAGTATAGAGCAACAACCGACTTTGCTCTATAATGAATGAAGATCAGATGGCCGGGCAAAAAAGAATCACCAACAAGAAACTATGGGAACAAACAAAACACGAACCAATCACCAACCAACAATTATGCAGGAGAAAGTGAAGATGGATTGGACACTCACTCGCTGAGGAGACCGCTGGGTGACATCGCGCGCGCATCAGGCAAATTCTCGAGTGAAACCGGGCCGAAAGGTAAGCGGCGAGTGGGACGTTAGTGCTAGGGTGACGTGGAGGAGATCGTGTGGAAAAGGTGAAAAGTACAGCAGAAGAAAGACAGAAGTGGCAATTGGAGTGAGACGTGCAGTTGAAGCCTTATGTTCCACTAGAAACCCAAAGGAACAATAATGTAATAAAACTAATAAAATTCGCATTAAATTGTATACATCAAGACTTCTACATGCCTAAGACATCATAAAAATTTAAAAAATTGGAAGGAGAATAACAGATAATAAGCCTACCTGGTCTTGCACCATTGGCACGCATAAAATCTAATCCAATTGCATCGAGTCCAGCACGTCTTGGTTTATTCACAGGAACTGTCATCGCAGTGTTACCTTTAGATAAACCAGATTTCACTTCATATTTATTCAATCCAACTGGTTTGTGTTGTTGAAGTGATGAGGAATGATGCTGTGGATGTTGATAAGACTGTGTCGATAGTAGATTATTATTATTAGTGGTAGTATTACTATCCAAGTCCTGATTAGATATACCTGGTCGACAACACGCGCATACATTGGAATGCTCTTTTGCCTCTAAGAAATCAGAATATGAATGATCTGTATTTAGTAGAAATGTTGAATTGCACTTACTTATTTCACTTAAATCATTCCCTGGTGATAAAAAATTTGCAGCATTTAAATCCATTAAACTTGTATAAATTCCAGAATTAAAATTAGTTAATTCATCAGTTGGTATCTCTGACCCGATGACAGGTTTTCCAGTTGTTGGGATTACATCATGCAGAGATGTTTTACGATTATTCTGGATATAATTCTCAGGTAACAATTGTTCAGGGTAATACTGCAAGGGATCTTCTTCGAAGATATGTGGAGATTTATGCGTTAAATAGATTAATAATTTTAAATAAGCTGTATCGATGCATTCATCTGTGACATTTAAGTCGGGATCAGAAAATCGTCTTGTCTTATACCCGTGTAACAATAACTGTTCACCTAACCAATTCATTTTATCTGATGGTGATAATGTTTGTCTGTGTTGTAGAGATGATGATTTCAGTGGACAATTGGAACAATATACACATCCTATTTGATGATGACTGTTATCCGGATGATGATACTGATGATAATGGCAATAAGTGTGTTGTTGTTGTTGTTGACTTCTTTCAGCAGAATGCGAACTTCTTGCATTATTATCCAGCTTACTAGATGTATTAAGCGTTTCACTAGTTCCAGGTGTATTTAAAAAGGTACCAGCTCTAGCTGCTGCTAATGCTGCACTTGCTACACCCAATAAACCTTTAGCTGCAGATGGACGACTTGCTGCAAGCATAGATAAAAAACTTGTATCTGAATTACAATATAATGATGTACTCATTTTACGTGAGGTACGATTCCGTGTATTCATTGGCTGTGAGATTTGATGCTTTAAACGATGCTTTTTCGATGGTGAAATTGAAGCAGATTTCACTACAGTTTTATTGATTAAATTTGATGAAGAGGTTTCATTCTCTTTGGATTTATTTCTGCTCGTGACAGGAACAGATGGAGTGTTGATATTCTCCCGACTTTTACTTCCAGGTGAATGATCCAATGAATCATGTTGTAGGCTACAGCCTAATGGAGATACTGCAGAGGATGAAGGACACTGTTGAAGCGGTGGACATGTTTGTTGTGTTGATGATTTCAGTTTATTACTATATTCAATGCCTGGATCATTCTTTTTCGATGTTGACGAGGATGAGGATATTGATGTTGTCGAGGGGGATAATACGGCATGATTTTGTTCTTCTGTTGAATTAGTCTTTTTAGTCATTAGAAAAGTTGAATCAATTCCCCCACTACCACCACCACCAACAACAACACCACCACCAACACTACTACTAATGCCTGTAATATTCGTAGTAATTGTCGTAGTTGTTGATGTTGTTGTTCCCAAAGTTGTACTAACCACATCGAAGGCATCTGTATCTGTAATATTCGCTTTTCTACGGATTAATGAAGGCCGCTTCGGTTTTGCTAAGATATACTCAGAAATTTTCGGTGATATACCAATAAGAGAGGATTTAGCGAATTCACTTGTCTGTTGACCACTACTACTAATATTTCCAATAGGCGTAACAGGAGTAGTATCTCCACGAGTCTCTACAAAATTCACCGTCACTGAATCATTTTTATACAAATCTGACACAGGAATAGTAGTAGTAGTAGTAGCAGTGGTTGACACATTGAAATCCAATTTACTTTTCGATAATGTGTTAATAGTCCCAGTGACTGCTGTTGTTATTGTTGTTGCTGCTGGTGGTGTTGGTGTAACAATATTAGATGATGTAATCTGTGTAACAACTGGTGGACTTAAAGGGGATTCATTTGATGAATAGTCTTGATAATTGTGCATATGTCTATGTATGAATGTATGTATGTATGTATATATCTATGTAGATGATTGCATAATATGTCTGTTTGTTTAATTTGTAATTCTTTTAACAGGAGATTTACAAAACTAATCAAATGTTGATTAATTATTAATTAGTTTCTCAATTCATTCGGAAATAATTTTAAATGTTACTCTCCTCTTTTTTCTATGATATATGAGGGTGCAAAAGAAGAAGCGAAGTAAAATGTAGCGTTGTAGTTTATAGATGATGATGATGAGGAGGAGGCGTAAAAATGCTTTTCAAATGACACTTTCATGAAATAAAAATAATCACATCAGAATTTTTTTTTAAAAAAAAGTGGGATAGTGTTACCTGAACTGTAGTCAACGTTTTTTTATCGTTCATTTTATAAATACATATATATATATATAGGAATAGAAACATGTTTGTGCATTCATTTATGTGTGAATGTGTGTGAAAATGTATGTGACATACTTGAGTTCAGCCAGCCTATTAGCATATGTATATTTTTATATGTTTTCGTGATATTATTCATTACAGAAAGCACATATATATATATACTTTTAAACTTTTTTATAAAACTTTATTCAATGAAATATACATATATTCAAAATCTTTTCAAAAAAACTTCCCAATAACTTTTCGTGTTAGTGTTTTATTTATATTTTTGCTATAATAAGTAACTCCTGGTTAACCTTGATATGTGCGCTTATTCGTTCGTTCATTCATTCATTCATTCATTCATTCACCAATTCATTTATAGACTTACTCAATCAGTCATTCTTCCGCTGTCTCTAATTCTCTCTCTCTGTCTGTCTCCGACTGGCACGTGCACACACACACACACACACGCAGGCATACATACACCTTAGTTTGTTTGCTTGTTCACTAGACTCTTTCTCTTTTCTATTTTCCTGCTTTCTCCAAGGAAATTTATTCTACAAGAAGAAAATATATATTTACGGATTGCTTGATTGTGTGTGTGTGTGTTTGTGTGTGTATACATACATATTGAGGAAGAAATGTATTCTTCATACAATGATCAAGTGACATATGCAGTTGGCTTTTTCTTCTGACTTCTAATTGTTCTTCATTGCTCATTTATTATCCATCTAACCAACTATCTGTGTGTGTGTGTGTCTATGTGCGTGTATATGACCTGTCTGTTCTCTTATATCTATAACTTTACGCTCAGTTTTTTTTTAAGGATCAAGCCTTAACCAGTGTCATTCGCATTAGACGCCTCATGATCAACGTTGTTGGTTCATTCAAATATAAGCATATTGCCTAGAATATTTACCTAACCTACCTATAATTGACCTATAATATTCAGATATATATGCATAGGTGTAACCAATCAGCGGTTTGACCAATCAACCATCGATATATATATATATATATATATATATATATATATATAGAGAGAGAGAGAGAGAGAGAGAGAGGCCGACGGTATAGACGTTCGAGAACAGTACGAAGGTTCTTATGCCGACGGCATCCATTGTATTCCAATCTCCCGTACCAAAAGGCAAAGCAAAAGACAGATACTTTTCTTCAATTTTCCTAAAGGTGGGAGTGCTGCAATGAGTTATTGCTCTCTTGAATAGTGTTTGTATGCAGTTCCTACATGCATACAAACACTATTCAAGATAGACAAAATTTATCAACCGATAAGAAAGAAACCACACACACAAAGGGTCAAAATTCAAGTCAAAGAAACAACCAGTTCCAGTACAAGTTGCCTAGAAGGTGTGAAAACACACAAAAACAACCACTCACGTCCAAAGTCACCAGTCAGGAGAGATGATTAATAAACTCGTGGAGAAATCTAAAAGCTCACTTCACTTCAAATTGAAGTATGCACTGAAGATGTCACCCAGTAGGGCGATGAAAGCTTCTCAAATTAACCATCCAGCTCAGAGGACGCAACCACATCAAAATCATCCACCTTAGCTACAAATCTTCTCTGTCATATCTAAATTTGAATTTCATTTGATAATATGAAATGTTTCTGATGATGATGTTAGACGTTCCTTGCTTTTTCTGGATGATGGTTTCAATATTGTCAAAATCATTTTAGTGGCCTGATTTTATAGCATGTAGAACTATGGTGAAGATTTTTCAATCTTTTCTAGTTCTATACTACATTCTATACCATATTTAGCACGTACTTTATGTGATAAAAACAATATTAGGCATGAACTAACTAACCTTCTTTGCACTACTAAATAAGCCATCTCCGCCACCCTTATAACATCAAGTTTTATTGTTATTGTTTTCCTCATATTTATAATCCTCTCAAATTTTTGTCTTAATTTGTTTATTTTCTCATAAGTGTGAACATCATTTAAGCTGTGTTATAGCTGTTAATTTTGTATTTACCCTTACCATGCTGCTATATCAACAGAACATTAGCTTCAATACTCTGTAGTAACATGGCCTCGTGGCGTAGCGGTTAGCACTCTGGACTCTGAATCCAGCGACCCGAGTTCGTGTCTCGGAGAGGCCTCGAGCTAAGCACTTTGTGTGAGTCAGTGGCACAGTGGTTAGGACTCTCGCTGACCATGCACATGGTCCGGGGTTCGAGCCCACGCCGACGCACACCTGATATCTATGTTTGGCCTGCGAAATTTGGGCTACCGATATCCACGCTGAAAATTCCATACTTGTACCAGAAATACATTGTAATCAAAAATAAAAAATAAATAAATGCCAAAATTTCCAAGCTGAATGGACAATACTGTTTAAAACAAACTCACTGCTATTATTATTATCATTATCACATGTAATATTCTCAATTCGTACTTCGAATATTTTTGACTTTATGTCGTAAACGTGGGCGAATTCCCCTGGTTACTTTTGCTTCAATTTTCAATTTTATTTGTATTTTAAGTAAAGCTGATGCAAGATATTGTGACAAATGCTGAGAATTCCATTCTGTATTATAAGTACTGTTTATGGAAGAAAGTTGATTATTATTATTATTCAACCGGATTTCACGGTGGTCGAACCGATGTTCTACAGTTGAACTTGACCTAAGCAGTCTATTTTCTCACCTCTTAACTCTTTGTTAAATATATATGCTGAGTGGATTTTGTAAATTCCGGTTAAAGAATACTACTTTGATGAAGCTATTAGCAGCTGCATTAAATAGCGAAACGTCAGTCAAGAAAAACAATATCCAATGAGATGCTCACTGGCGACTGGCCCTATTCAGGTAGGTAGTTACCTGGGTTCCAGTGGGAAGTCGTGACCAGTAAGGTGCAGCCGGTCGGGTGTGAGGACAAATACTCACCGAAGACATTGGCTAGCAGTCGCGCTATGTCGTGAATTGGCAGAAGTTAGAATTCAAGGACCATTGGATCTGGTCATAGTGGCTCAATGGTCTACGAGCTCGCCTTGTAATCGGAAGGTCCTGGGTTCGAATCCCGGTGGGTGCGTACTGCTGAAGAGTCCCAAACTAGGCTGACGAAACAGCTGTCCAGTACTCCCAGGTTTTCCAGTGGCTCTCTAACTAATGTCAGCTCATGATGAAATCCTGAAAAACAATATCATTTTGTTTTTTCATTCATTGGGAAATACAAAAGAGAACCTTTATTATAATGAATGTATATCATATGCCCAATGCCCAAATTTGTTTCAGTGTTAAAAGTGAACTTGGTATGGCGGACATATATTGTTAATTTCCCGTTTTGAAAATAAGTTATACTTCAATAAATTTGTTCACTGGCATAATTCCACTTTCAGAGATGACCTTGAAAGCAAAACTAAATCAAATGTTGCATACCTTGAATCATCTGTTTCCTCTAATCACGTTTTGCTAGTCTCTTTCCATGTCATTTTAGTTTGTAGAAAGCTCTATATATCGATTGATGTCCTAAATATGAAAGTTAAGACTATTGAGATATGATTCAATCAGTCTCTACTCTTATAGTTTACAGAATACAGACATTGGGTCAAAGAACTTATTAAGAAGACAATTGCAGCGGAGAAAATTTTCTTTTCGACGAAGTCATCATCCAGGGTGTACATTCGTGTATTTATATCAAATGGATGGAAAAGTTCCAGAATGATTTCCAGTCAAGGGTGAAATTAATAAACAATAAAATTAGGAATTAAAATGCCATAATAAACAGGGGGACGGATAAAACAAACAAAGTAGCATCATGATAGCTAAGAAGATTGACATTGTGCAATTAGGGGTTAGAAATGTAGAAATAACAAAAGTCGACAGGATGTTTGGATAAAAAAACTAATGTGATGAATAATTGTTTATGCAATCAGGGATTAAATATGTAGAAATAGTAAAATGACAAAATAAACACGAAGTTCTGGTATGAAAATATGGTAGTGTAACATGAATAAACAGGAAGTTTATGTAAGAAAGGCGATGGGATGGTCATTACTAAAAAATTAACTGTTTATGATAGCCATGGCAGGGACAACAGTTGGACGTATTTCTTTTGGATACAAAGCGTGGGTTTGAGCTTTTGTATAGCTAGCGCTTCGGCTATGCTCAGATGTCTTGATTTCACTCCCTTTGATAGGTTTGATTGAATCTTGTATATTACTTTGAAGGATTACGCTTTTGGTTTCCTTTTACTAACCAGGCTGGGTAGTGTTCACGAGCGCGTTTTTCAAGTCAGAGCATGGTACGGCCAACGTACTCAGCTCCACAAGAGCAAGTAAACTGGTACATGCACTTTGAGGTGGCCCAATGCGACAGCTTGTTTTTCGCGTTCTGGCTGAACAGTTTCTTGCAGGAAAACGTCAGTCGTAGGCTAGCGGCGAAGTATGTTTTCCTTAGCGATTTGAAAAGGCATGTGCGAAGGATTTCTGCTTCAATATCACCTCTGAATTCTAGATTAAGCAGAAGTATTTACTTTGAAACGGGTACCATGGCCATCATAAACAGTTAATTTTTTAGTAATGACCATCCCATCGCCTTTCTTACATAAACTTCCTGTTTATTCATGTTACACTACCATATTTTCATACCAGAACTTCGTGTTTATTTTGTCATTTTACTATTTCTACATATTTAATCCCTGATTGCATAAACAATTATTCATCACATTAGTTTTTTTATCCAAACATCCTGTCGACTTTTGTTATTTCTACATTTCTAACCCCTAATTGCACAATGTCAATCTTCTTAGCTATCATGATGCTACTTTGTTTGTTTTATCCGTCCCCCTGTTTATTATGGCATTTTAATTCCTAATTTTATTGTTTATTAATTTCACCCTTGACTGGAAATCATTCTGGAACTTTTCCATCCATTTGATATAAATACACGAATGTACACCCTGGATGATGACTTCGTCGAAAAGAAAATTTTCTTCACTGCAATTGTTTTTTTATAGTTCAATAATTCTTGTATCCTACCACACTATCTTCATTGTTTGTCACATTTAATCTTCCCTGAACCACCTAAGAAAGACTTTGTTGTTGACTATGAAGGACATTAAAAGGCGGTCAGTAGAGAGAGTGAGATAAGTCGCTAAACCAACACACGTTTGTACTCTTGTAGATAGACACATGAACTCATTCAAGAATGTTAGTGAACATCCTCTCTATACATAGCTCTCTCTCTCTCTTTGGTACATGTCATCAGTTAAAGGAATTGGAAGTAACTACAGAAGGCTGTATGGTGGGT